AAAAAAAAGAAAAAAAAAAGGGGAAAAAGCTAAAGCACACAAATACATTCTTCTCAATACTCTGATGGAGAATTGAAGCCACTAATCTGATTATTCTCTTCCATACTGTTTTGTCTCATCTCACGTTGGGCATCATTTAAATCGTTTGGACGTGTTGTGTCTTTTATTGTTCCTGACTCTCCTGATGACAATGCGTGTTCAGGCTTCTCTTCAGAGAGAAGACCACCAGCATTCATCACCGCAGTACTGCTGTGACTGCAGATGTCTGTAGTGGTCCTAGTTGTGGTATTCGTATGGTGTGTTGTCGTTGTTGTTGTTGGAGGAGGAGGAGGAATCGCCATGCCTTCATTCCTATCAATACCCTCCGTTTTCTGCAGAGATGCCGTTGGAGGCGGTTGTTGTTGTTCTTGTTGTTGATGATGATGATGATTAGATTCCCCAACCGTATTTCCTCCTTGCTGTGTCATCACAACAGCAACATCACGTTTCCCATCTCCCACAGTAGTTGTTGATATTGTTGTTGATATTGAAGATGTGGATATCATTGCAGTTGGCATTGGCTTTAGTAATTCCGCCGGTTCACACGGCAATGGATCTTCATAAAAGAATGGGTGTTCCAATGCCTCTCGGGCGGATAAACGGTCTAGTGGATTCCATCGTAGAATTCGCTGCAGTAAATCAAATCCACTTTCTGGAAGTGTAGATGCACCCGCATGTCGAGATTTCTCAAACACTTGACGAAGTGTATTTACACGATTAAACCGTGTGAGTGTACGCATTATACGTGCAAGTTCTGGCATCTTATATAATCCACTAAATGTTTCTTCCGTAGGAATACCAATCACATCACAGATAGCTGCAAAATGTTTGGTTTCCTCTTCGGCAGGAAACAATGGTAATTTAAGGAAGAGTTCTGCCATGATACAAGCTAAAGACCACACATCCATTTTATGTGAATAGTCCCGAACGCCAAAATGTAATTCCGGTGCACGGTAAATAAGTGTAACGACATTTGCAGTGAGTTCCTGTCCTTCAGTGTATAAACGGCCAAGGCCAAAGTCACAGAGCTTGACAATACCTTGTGGACTAATAAGAATGTTGGAAGTTTTGATATCACGATGTAAAATACGATGCTCATGAAGAAAAGAAAGTGCCTGAAAGAGCTGTTGCATAATACATTTCACTCGAGACAAAAAATTCTTTCGAGCATCTGGATGTTTGTTCCGGGAGCTTAAGTGTAAATATACACCTTTTTCATTATGAAGGGAAAGGAAAGATTTGAGATCGTATGGACAATATTCCATTACAAGATAGACTGTTTTCCACTCATCTGTACCTTGATGACGTGACTGTATTCCATCTGTATTCACCTTCTCTTGGTTTGAAATAAGAATACCATTGTTTTTTCCATTCCTATTACTGTTATTATTACTATTATTATTATTACCATTATTATTATTATTATTACTATTATTATTACCATTGTTATTATTATTACTATTATTATTATTGTTATTATTATTATTATTATGATTGTTGGTACTATTGCCGTTAATCATGTTATTATTGTTTTTCTCATTTAGTACCAAATCTGTCATTTCTTGAAGAGTAACTGCATCTTTCATAGTATGTGAATTCATATTTCCCCCTTCTACTCCTATTCCTCCTCCTACTCCTCCTGCTACGATAACACGTGTTGGCTTCGTTGCTTCTTGTCTTTTTTCCTGAATAACCACTTCTCGTGCACGTACAATATTAGGATGTCGTAGTCGTAGAAGAAGGTCAAACTCACGCAGTAAATAAGGAGGAAAACCAATTCGTGATTCCTCAAGCCATTGTTTCTTTACCTGCTTGAGTGCATATTTTACCTCCTCTTTATTATTATTATTATTATTATTATTAGACTTCCCACCTGAAGTATTCATAATAGAAGATGGAGTTTCCACTGCACTGATTACAACTCCATACACGCCTTGTGCAATACGTGCTCTTGGTTCATATTCCTCCACTGAACGACACGGCAACCGCCGTTTTCCAGAAACCAAAATATGTCCAAAATCTTTTCTGCATCTATTAATTCCGCCAGTTATTGTACTGTGAGAACATAGTGAGGAACCCTTATTGGTATCTTCTTCCTCCTTTAATTCTGTTTCCTCACTAAAAATAAAACACTTTTCTGCTACTTCAGGTAAGAAATAAGAGATTACAGTAGAGGTGTAGGAATCAACATTGGAGACAAGATTTTCTTTATTTGTATTCTTGATTTCTACCATGTGATCTCCATCATTCTGTTCTTTTTCTTCTTCTTCTTCTTCTTGTTGCTCCTTTCCTTCTTGTATTTCAGTGTCATTATCAATATCAGAGGAACGTTCACGCTTTCGTCGTTTTGTATTATTCTTATGAGACCGCAATACAGTCTCCAGCAGTTTTACAGCATGTCTTGTGGTGAATTTCGCACACAGTGGATCTTTTACAGTATCTCTATATTTCACCACTGCAGTATGTGGTGATACAAAGGCTGGGGGTAAATTACTAATAGGAATAGACGCTGCAGTTTTACCAGTTGATGTGGACGACAAGGGTGGTGGAGAAAATGTTGTTGATGGTACTGCTGCTGCTGCTGCTGTTGATGTTGATGATGTTCCTGCTGCTATTGCTGTTGCTGTTGCTGTTGCTGTTGTGGTAGTGTTTGTTGGTCCAGTGGATATGGGTGCAGATACGGCTGTTGACGATAGACTGGCCACAGAATCCTCCGTTGTGGCTTTCCGTGACTTTAATGCCTCTATTCTTCGTCTCAAGTGTTCTGACATTATTTCCTGGGGTGTTGGTCTTTCTAGTCTTTTTTTTTTCTTTTTTACTGTCTATATTACCACGGCACTGGGTAATGGTGTATTTTTCTCTTTCTTTTTTTTTCTTTCTTCTTCTTGTTATAAGCCCCTTCGCACACACTATTTTGTTTTTGTTTTTTGCTTTTCTTTTTTTTTTTTTTTTTTTTTTTTTGTTTACTTTAATTCTGTTGTTTTATTCGTTTCTTTGTGTGGGTAGTTTTCTCTCTTCGTTCTGTTCTCTTCTTTTCGGCTTTATATATATTCCACTTACGCTTACCCTTCTTTAGCGTGTGTGTGTGTGTGTGTGTGTGTGTGTGTGTGTGTGTGTGTGTGTGCAACAAGTTTAGATTCCTCCCCCTCAATTGTGTGCACTCTCTCCTTGGCTCACCAGATCCAACAAACCGTGTTATCTAAAGAGCAGCAAGAGCAATCCACCAAAAGAAGAAAAAAGAAAAAAAAACAAGAAAAAAGAGAAAGAAGGGAAAAAAAAAGACAACAAAGAAGAAAAAAAAGAAGCAAGGGAAAAAAAAGGGAGAGAACAAGAAGAAGAATCATTTAAAGAATATAAGATAAGCATATCACAGAAAGAAAGAAAGAGGTCCGGTTATTTAGTACCTCTACGTAAAAAAGAAGAAAAGAAAAAAAAAAAAAAAAACTGAGAAGAACCACGAATAAAAACATATATAAAACGCACTTTTGCCTATGTTGTACATCGCGAAGGCCACGTTCCAAAGTAAATAAAAAGAAGAGAAAATAAAAAAGAAAACTCTAGCTACATATACCAGACACTTCGCCCATCTCAACATTTTTCCCCTACCCTTCTAATATTCCTCCAACACCCAATATACTCCTCCTTCCTTCCTTCCTTCTCATCACTCCACTGCAGAACAGCCTTTACATCATTTTTTCCCTCTCCCACTCATCCCCAAACCTCCACTCATCACTATTTCTTTTTTTTTTATTTCTCTCATCTCTGCAGTTAGAGTGTAGTTTGTCGTTTATGGTGAAAGAGGGCATCTGCGAGAACCGTGACGGGATCCGATGGCCGCCGCCGCACAACATCCGCCAGCAGCGGCGTGAGGGACGGCATCACGTACCGCATGAGATACACATCCGCCGGGATCCGCTCAGCCCCGGCCACTGCGGCAAATTCCTCTCGCGCCTGATAATACCGCAGGGCCCGCTCCTCCTCGGCGAGTATGGTCTTTTCCTTTTTGAGTGTGGCTGCGGCGAAGAAATCCTCCGCGGCGTAGAGTCGGTCCAGCATTCCTGCTTCCAACTCAAACTCCTGGAATTGCCGTACACGTGCAGCCTCTTCCGCTGCAAATGCCGCCGCCACTGTTTCTCCACAGCAGCCATAACCAATAGACTTTAGTATCCGCCAACGGATCGCATCGCAGTAGGTCTCAAGACGGGCGTCCCTCTCGCGAAAGAGATCATTCTGGGGAAGAGAATAAGCACGAGGAACAGATGTGGTAGTAGAGGCGGAAAAGGAACTCATACTGGAATTGGGCATGTTAGCAGGATTGGGAACATTAAGAAGTGCAGGAATAAGTAATACACATGCTGTGCGTGGTGGTTTCTCACCATCATCACCTTCAGCCTCATTCCCATCACTTCCTCCTACTCCTTCTCCAACTTCATCTTCCACTTTTTCAACAGTTACAGTTTGAAACCAAGAGATAAGAGATTCTGTTGGAGGGGCATTAGGACGATTATTTTTCATATATCGTGTAAGCCTATCATAGAATTCCTTTACACCAGGAGTTGCATTGTTATTACCGTTCAAAGTGATACTTCCGTTCATCCCATTGAAAGAAATAGTAGTATTCTCTTTTAATGCAGACATTTGTGCCTGTAAAACACTTTCACTGCACGTTAATGCAATAAAACAATCTGGAAAAAAGACATCATTTGTAGGACTAAGAGCCTCTTCTGCGGTGAGAAAAGTTTTTCCTTCCATCGCATCTAACATTTCTTTCTGTTGAACCTCATCCAAATCATCCAGTACAGGTAATGGAAATGCGGCATCCTGTGGTAACTGAGGACCCGCTTCTTCTTCACGCTCTCTCTGCAGTTTAGGACGTTGCATTTCCTTTTGCTCTTCTGTATCAGCTAGGAATGTTAACCAAGCCTGACGTACAGTCTCTGGGAAACACTCAAGAATATAACCTTGACTTCGACAATCATCCTGTCGCAACCGCCACCGCACCATTACAGCCAGAGCTTCATCAAGATAACGATAAACAGGTGGTGGTACAGTTGCAGCAGCGGCAGCAACAGCGGCAGCGGCTTCTTTTTCTTTCCTGCGTTTTCTTCTTTCATCATCATCGTATTCTTCATCTTCCTCTTCTTCATCATCATCTTCACTCGGTCGTTGAGGGAACTCACCATTCAAGAGATGCAGAGATAAAAGTTTTTTGGCAAAACGATACTCTTCTCTTAGTACTTCAATACGACGTCGTTCTGCCATATCCACCTGTTGGGCGATGGCTGCAGCCTTTTCATCCTTCTCATCCTCACTCCCGATATCTTCTTCTTCTTCTTCCTCATCCTCTGGTGGGTCTAGTAACTCACTCTCTGTGATGGTTGCGAGAGCGATATTCTCTTCACCTATTGCAGTTTTATTACCATCCACACCTTTCTTACCATCTTTACTGTTCTCTTCATCACCTTCTTCTTCTTCTGTGGCATCCTCCTCATCACCTCCTTTCTCATCACCAGCACCACCTCCACCTCCACCTCCTTCTTCTTCATCTTCTTCTTCTTCTCCCTCTTCACCTTCTTCTTCTTCTTCTTCTTCTGTCGCTGCCCGTTCTCGCTTTAACCGTTCTTCTTCACGGCGAATACGTTCATCTTTAGCCGCCTGACGTCGTGCACGTCGTCGTAGTAGAATCTCTACAAGTTCTGAACGTACACCTGCCACATGTTCCTCGTATGACTCTATCACATTTGCTATTGTTAAATGTGGAATGTGAAATAACTCTCCCAAAGTCTCAGCAACATCTTCTGTCTTACTCATGGGTGGACCAGAGAGAACAAGACGCATAGGGCGAAGCATCCGTTCTTTTTTAAATTCTTTTACAACCTTGTCAACATTTGCAAAAAATCCTCCTAGTGAAACCCAGTCTGATTCTTCAAGAAGAGAAAGAACAGCACCAGGTTCACATTTTACATTAACAGAACTTAACCAATTTTGCAATCCATGGGGTAAACTTACTGCAAGTCCTTCAATATGTACTGGTATACTACCCTCACTATCCTCACTTTCCCCATCTTCAACAAACTGCTGCTGCTGCCAAGGTTCTAAATTCATTTGTAAAGCCCTTTCTCGTCTTCGAATATCTAATATCATACGACGTTCACGGTTAATTTCACTATCTAACCTTTCTAGTTGCTTCTCTCTAATCTCGTTTGATAATACATTATCATGGTCAATTTCAAGAGTTGTAGTCTCTATAACACCACCAATAAAATCTTTTATACCTTGTAAAATATCTGCTTGTGTATTATTTCCTTGATCAACGGCAAACATATAACGTTCCTCCAAAGTATCGTAAGAGGATCCAACGAGGTAAATAATACGTGAGAGATCTTTTACATGAATAGTTGGTATATAATTTAATCCATTTCCATACTGAAATATTTTTTCATGAAGCCATGCAGCATGAAAGTAGGGTCCAAGTAAATCTTCACCACCACCATATGGTAATCCAGCCCATAGCACATAAGTGTGTAAGGTTTCAGAATTAGCATGCTTTACAGTATGTTCAAGTTCTTTCCAGGCATGATAACGTGAATCTGGGTAACGTTTGTGATAATCTTCTTCTGTCCATACTTTTAACTCTAGTTCTTCTTCTTCCTCTTCTTCTTCTTCCTCTTCTTCTATATCATCTGTTGCCCCTGTATCACTATCAGCATCATTATTTGCACGTTCAGCTAATCGTGCTGCCCTTTCCTCAGCCCGTTGAAGTTCACGCTCATGTGCATCTGATTGAGTCCATGTAAAGACATTGGATACAAGTACAAAAGTCTTTTCTACTTCATAATGCGTACCAAGGAGAATTTTAATAGTACAATCTGCTTCAAATGCGTCTTCTTCAAGGACAGCAATGATAATATCATATGTTAGAACTCTAACACGAAACTGTTCATCACTAATCTCACCATGTCGAGGCATCACAGAGTTTAAGAATGAACTCATATCATCTGGTACTGAAGGATCAAAAGACTGAGAAGGATCCTCAGTAGGAATAATCGTATTATTAATTTTAACTGAATGAGAATCATCATTCTTCGTTTCATCTTGGGTAACTTGGCTTGTTTTCTTATGTTTTGGATGATGATATAGTGTACCATCAATCAAATACTCTTTTTTCTCAAAAAAACGACGACACACATGAATACCCACAAAGGAGTCTGCATTCAATACCAGTACACGTTTCATCTGCTAACAAAGCAAAAGGAGAATAACAAAAAAAAAAAGACCTATGACTATGTATATTGCGAAGAATTCACTCTAGTCTCTATATTCTTCTGATACCTCCTTCAACAACAGTATACCAGAAAAGACGTGTTTCCACCTTTTAAATTTATTTCCAGAAGAAAAAAAAATAGGAGAAAGAAAAAAAGAAAAAGAAAAAAAGAAAAAAAAAAACCGAATTCATCAATTAAAGTATAACTTAGGTCAAAGAACAGAAAATGAATAAAAAAAAAATTATAATAGGATGGGGAAAAAAGGGATTTTTTAATTCCCTATGCCCACCATCACTACCACCAGATTTTCTTCGTCTAATGATGTTTTGTTTTGTTTTGTTTTTGTTTTTTTTTGGGGGGGGGAGGTCATCCAATTGTTGACTCTACTCTTCTTCTTATCCCATACATTCAAGACCCTGTATGCCAAACACACACAGACACAAGGAAATAGAGAGGAAATAAATAAAAAAGAAACAAAAAAAAAAATGGAAAAGTGAGAGTTACGCTAAATGATAGCTCACTTCTTCCCCGTTTCCTTCGTCTTTTCATTCTTCTTTGGTGTCAAGGGTTTTGAAGAGGAAGAATGTTTCCTGCTTTCACTGGTAGCAGGTGTTCCGCTGCTCGCTGGTGGCTTTGCATTCTCTGCCTGTTTTGCGCCTGGGGCCTTTGCATTCTCTGCCTGTTTTGCGGCTGGTGCCTTTGCATTCTCCGCCGGTTTTGCGGCTGGTGGCTTTGCGGGTGTTGACACTGTAGATCTCGTTAACCGTGTAGCCGTCTTGGACTCCTGCCCTCCCCATGCGTTTTTCCCTCCCCCCGGCTTCCCGTCCTTTTTGGGGGACTTGCCGCTGTTCTCGTCCGCTGGCGTCTCCTGCGTTGGTCGGCGGCGGTGGGAGGGCCCCGCCCCCCCGGACCCCTCCGGCGGATCCCCGGCGCTTTCGAGGAGAACTTTTCGCCGGCGACGGGCCTCTCCGACCGCCTCGCGCTCCGCCAGCGGCGCCGCCGGCATCTCCGCCGCGCCGGCCCCCTCCGCCGCGTCCAACATGTCGGATGTGAGTTGCACGAGGAGCATGTCGGGATTCCACGGGACATCCTCGTCGTCCAGGTGCTGCGAGAGACACGCCGTTAAGGCGGACATGTCAAGGTCTTGGTGAATGACCTGCAAAAAGTCATTCCATAGATTGGAGATATCTAATTCGGAGAGTTTCGGCATGGAGACATTGTAGCCAACAGGTACCTCCGCCACACGGCTGACTAGTCGTTCTTTTTCCTCCTTCGCCTTTTCAAGGGCTTGTTGGCGGGACTGCTCATCAACACCATCATCAAGATTTCGGAGTTTATCCTTTTGTACCACCTCATCAGGTGGTCGACGTCCGCTAGCTCCTTTTGTTGTTGTATTTGTTACTTTTAATGTCTCAGAAGAACCGGTAGGCGTTGCATCACCATTAGTAGTATTGTTGTTATGTGCATTAGCACTTTTTCCCTCCTCTTCCGCACGTCTACCAAACTTTGGAGGCATTGTTTTTTTTTTTTTTTTGTTCCTTTCCTCCTGTTCCTATGTCTAGTGTACTACTCACTCGCAATAAGGTAGTGAGAAAAATTCTTATATCCTTCTATTACTCTTCAAAGAGTATTATATTCCTGCAGAGTATTGCCTAGTTGATTTATTAATCTCAACCTAGTTGTTTCTTTATTTATTTCTTCTGTTTTTGTTTTTTTCTTCTTGTTAGCTCCACTCCCAGCGAGTAATACTTTTCCTGTGTATTGAGCTAACCCCACCTGATAAAAGCACAGAGTTATTTAAAAAAAAAAAAAATGCACAAAGAAAAAAAACACGGTTATTCTGCAAAGTGTACCAAAGAAAAAAAAAGGAATAATAACATACGTTCACATATAAAAGAGAACCAGAGAAATATACACACACACATATATATATATATAGTGGACGCCACCATCATGCTTTACTTACCGGGAACGCTTCGCACCAGCCACTTTCGCCCGTGGCGCCTTTTCAAAATTCGCCGGTTTTGACGACTCATCACCGCTGACCACAGAGACGGATAATACATGTTCCCCGCGGAGCAGCACGAGTCCCAAACTACGCTCTGCGCTGATGCCGGCTTCTTTCATCTTCTTAGTAACTTCACGGGTCTCCGTTACATCCGCGAGTACAACGTTCATATGGCGATCATACACGAGAAGTTTACCCGTCATAGTTCTGCCATCATCCAGCGTAATTTGCAGCGTGCGATTGATGTTGTGCAGCATACTTTCGCGCCCCATGGTTGCTGTAAAAATAGAATATGAATGTGTGGTGTTTGGAAATGTGCGTATGTTTGGGGGGGATAAAGCTGCTGGAAGAAGAGGAAAAAGAAAAAGGAGGAGACTGAAAACCGGAAATACAGCAGTCAAGATAAGCGCGTCACAATGGTGTGAAGAGAAGAGAAAATACAAAGGGGATAAAATACCGAACAAGGAAGCCGGAACTATCTTACTTTTGTATTTACTTCGGTTGCTATTGCTCTCTCTCTTAACTGGTGTAATTACGGGGGGAAAAGCAACAGTAAACTGAAGCCAAGACCTTACTACTGTTCTTCAGTATAAAAAAAGAGAAGAAAAAAAGAAATGAGAGAAATGATCTACTTAAATAAAGCAAATGAAGAAACAAAAAAAAAATGAGGCATAGACCCAACACAGTAAAGTACTATCACTCTTATTTCATTCGTTTTTTTTTTTTTGTTATTTCATTGAGGTACACACTTTACTCGAGTATTTCGACCCTTCACTTTTTTTTTCTCTTCTTTTTTTTTTCGATTAAACTGTGTGTTGTTTCGTTGTTATTATTTCCTCTCTCAGATGTATAATCATGTGCCCAATGCAAAGTGTAATTATAAATGTTAATATGTGAAATAAGGCTGAGAGTGTAGAGAGATTTTTTTGTCAAAAGCCCCACAATAGTTGCTAATGTTCTTTTATTTATTTATTTTATTTATTTCCCCTTCAGTTTTTTTTTTTTTTTTTAGTTGGGTATCTTGTGTGTACGTCTCTGTAATGTTCCATGTACTCTTTTAACTCTCTCTCTCTCTCTTTTCGGTTTTGTTTTATTTTCTTTCTTTCCTCTTCTAAACCCCCTGCACAGTTTTATTTCGGTAAATTTCAATCATTATGTATGAAAAACACAAACAGCAAGAGCATAACACAGGGGAAAAGAAATAAATAAATAAAATAAAAGAACGCTACACACAATACTCATATATATATACTCTTTCTCTCTCTCTCTCTCTCTTTCACCATACAACCCACATATATATATATAAACACTGTATATTACTTTCATGCAGTGGCATGATACACCTTTCCAAACGCAATAAAACGGAAAAAGGAAAGGGATGAGAAAAAGGAAGATCAACAATAACAATAATTAACAACAACTAGATAGAGAGATAAAGAGATGTAAAGAGAAAGAGAATGAAAGAAAGAAGGAAAGAAAGAGAAAACACAATTACTTCTGACGCTTCAAGCGTTGTCGCGTACGCCGCATTTCACCCATCTTTTTACGGTCAAGTGGTCCCTTCTTTTTCTTCTGCAGTCGTCCATCACTGCTCTTCAACGCCTGCGAGCGCATTAACCGCCGAACGGACATGTTATTTGCCTTCTCACGTGCACGTGGATCCACCTTGCCCTTTTCAATCATACCGCGCAACATACGCTGTGCCCGCTTACGTTTACGCTGCACGGCTTCCATCACCTTCTTTCCAGGCCGCGCGTTCATTTCTTGGAAGCGCACACGCTGCGCCTCAATCTCCTCTGCCGTGACAGGAAGTATCACCTTGCAGTTACGCTGTTCATCCTTGATAAACCAATCCGGGAGATCCTCATCATCATTATAGGTATAGCGGTTAATAGAGGCCTCAAGGATATCACGACGACCCTTTTTATCCAACATTTTGGTTGCAATAGCCAATGTACGGGCACGGACGTGTGGATCTGTGAGGGCAACAGGAATTTCCTCAAATGTTGTCTCATCTTTACGATTTCCACCACCATTCGTACTGGTCTTCTTCTTGATAACTTTACTGCTGTTACCATTTTCACGGGCACTTCGTTTACGTAATTCAGCGTTTTCTTTTAATACTTGTTTACGCTGCTGCCGTACAAGTTCCTGTGTAGTGAGTTTACCAATATCTGGAATGATGGCACGTTTACGGCGTGAGTCCTCACGTCCGGTGCGAATCTCAAGATCACTTCGATCATCGCTAAAACGATCCTCTGAGAGGTCAGAGAAGTTATCATCATCATCATCGTCGTCCACGCGATCATCAAAGCGGGTCTTCTTACGTGCAGCATGACCGTTAAGTGAATCCGCAACGTTTAGCGGAGCTGCCGCTGCCATCTCCACACGATCTTCTTCCAGTGCTCGTTTATTTCTCTTCTGTTTCCCGTTATCTCGTGGTTTTGGAAAGGTTTGGTTTAACACCTTCTCCACATTAACGTGGTGACGAAGCCACTTACTCTGTTTACCGGCATTATCGAGATCTTGTTGATCTTTAGCCTTTCGTCTGTTTTCTGCAGTGTCCTCAGCGTCTTCTTCTTCCTCCTCCTCTTCCTCTTCATTATGATCGACAAGACCTTCTTCATAGAGAGTAACACGTGCAGAACGCTTTGCAGGAATGTAGTTACCGTAGTTATCCACATCCACACCATCCTCTTCGCCTTCAACAAGTTGTAAAGGACCTCTAGCATCAGTGATATTGCTGCTCGTTTCATCATTCTCATCATCTTCATCCTTACCCAAGTCCCAATCTTGCTCAGCATTGAGGTTAGCATTCATTACAGGATTTAGTGGATCATTTAGACGTTCATCAGGTTCCTCCCAGTGTTTATCAAGTATCTTCGCAACATCCACCTCGTCAACGAGAGCCAATTTTTCTACCGTGAATCCTTCATCAAATTCATCGTTATCATCATTGGCATCTTCATTATCCTCATCATCATCTGCACCTCCTTCTTTCATGAATCCATCTCCATCTGTCACTTGTTCAGCACCTCCTGAGGGATCGTAGTTAATCAAACCCTTAATTTGCTTCAGTTTACGGTCAACAATCTTCTTCTGCTTCTTCTTAAGCTCTTTGGACTGCCTTTTACGTAATTCCAGAAGTTCACGAGCTATTTTTGCCACACCTTCAGCACTGTCAAAGTCAATCTTCCCATCATCATCATCATCTTTGGCAGCATTACTATCAGCGTTATCCTGACTTTCCTCATCTTCTTCATCATTATACTCATCATCCCCTTCAGGAATACCGGCCAATTTACGTTTCCGTTCATCTTCCCGTAGGAGTTGTTCTCTCCAACGTAACATACGTCTCAAGTCAGCATCACCCACCTGCTGTAAATCTCCACAAAGGTATACCAACTCTTTCTTAGAGTGTCGTGATTTTAAGTAAACCTTATCCTCTGGTGTGGCGAAACGTAACTCATGATGTGTACGTAGAAACGTTTTTGGTTCATCACACTTTAGAAAATCCGTGAAGGCGGCAACATGATGTGAGACTGTAGCGAATTCCGTATATCCCACTGGTACATTAGATCTTGGTACAACAAGTGCTCCTGATGGGGTGAGAATTTTCTCTTCGCCTACATCTGAAAAGACCTTTTGGGCATTAAACATTGCCGGATCCAATTGTTTAGGGGCTTTAAATCCAGCGCAAACCACAAATATCTCAGCAGACTCCATACGAGATGCCAATGGTTTAGTAGCCTCTACCTTATCAAATAACTGCTGCATAACCCACATGAGTTTATGAAAGTCTTGTGAACGGAATACTTTCGTCACAAACCAGCCTGCTGGGCGCAGCATCGAACAGGCCATCTTGGCTGCATGCAAAACAAGAGCATTCTGTTCAAAGAGATCACGTGACCAAACACCACCAACATTAGGGGCACCATCGTGAATTACACAATCCACTGGTTCTTTCTTTAAGTAAGTAATGATAATCTTTCGTGTTTTATCGTCTGTGATATCACCCACAAAGGTTTTCACACCACGAATAGGGGCTATAGGAACTAAATCCACACCGACAATTTTAGAGCCTACAGGCATGTGTTTGGCAGCCACTTGACACCAACCTCCAGGCGCAGCGCAGAGATCCACAAGTACGCGACTTTTGGCAAGAAAGTCATACTTACGATTGAGTTGAATGAGTTTAAACGCAGAACGAGCGCGGTAACCCTGATCCTTAGCGAGGCGGTAGTACGCATCAAGACGTGTCTTGGCCTTCTTCTTAGACTTGGTTCCCATTCTTCTTCTTCTTCTTGCTGTGGTGGTTGTTTTGTTTTCCTTTTTCCTCTTTGTTGGTTTGTTTGTTTGTCTTTTTGGGGTTCTTCACTCAGTTCTTTTTTTTTTTTTTCTTATTCTTTATTTTCTTTTTCTTTTTTTCTTTTTTTTCCTTTTACTTTCTACTTAGAGGACTAGGAATAAGCAGGGCGAGTAATGTGATGGTGAGTTTGCCCCTCCCGAAGTGCCGTGCAGCGTATGCGAGGAACGGGTGTTAGTACTAAAAATAAACAATATTGATAAACAAGAGGGAGAAAAGGAATAATAATAATAATAATAATAATGGTAAGAATAAGAAAAAGGGGCATTGATTCAATACAAGCAACTAGACACGTATTTCTTTTCTTCCACATACTTGAGCCCAAAGATATGTATAAACACTTTCATAATATATATAATATTATATATATATATATATATATATATATATATATATATGAATACGAGCCCAAAAATAGGGATATAAAGAAAAGGAAAAGAATGAGCAATACTGCAAAAAAAAAGAAAAAAAAAAGAAGATAATATAATCCTTTATTTTACTCCGTATTGTCGTTGATGGTGATGTTCTCTTTTTTTCATTCACGCCAGTGAAGAGACAGGGTATTCTCGAAAGAGTCGTGATGCCACTGTGACGAGTTCCTCCAGCCAACGACGATCATAAACACCATCATTTCCACCTAATCGTTTTTCTTCCGGTTTGATCCGTACACCTAATGGATCCTTTAACAACTGAATCACCACATCTACTGGTTTTCCCAATAGTTTATCTCGTAATTGTATTAATAGGGCTACACAGATGTAGGCGTGAAAGTCCATAACGGTCTCACTATTCCCCATTGCCAAATACTTTTCCCACAAGAGAACAATTATTTCCAGTGGAAGTTCCCGAGCGAGGAGACAATGAACCCATTGAAAACAGCAATCCACTAACGTAATACCATGAGAGAAGATAGAATCCAAGATATCAGAATCAGACTTTTCCAATACCTTTTCTACTAATGCCATACTACGAAGAATACCAGATTGTCCTTGAATAAAATTATCTTGTAGCCATGATAGAAAAAAGCCTCCGCAAAAGTAAGTATCCGCCTCAGCTGCACGAAATAACTCCTCTGGAAGATGATGTAAAGCAGCATCTAATTCCTTCACATCTCGTGTGAAAACTACATTTGCGGATATCCATCGATTTTCTATCCCCTTATTCATAATGGTGTTACTATTGGTATTCTCTTTCGTGGTACTACTACTACTACTACTACTACTACTACCACTACTAGTGTTTTTATCTGCTGCATTATCATTGGTGTTATTGTTGTTGTTATTATTATTATTATTATTATTATTATTATTATCCCGCTCGTTTCGCCTAATTTGAATATTTCGTTCATTAATGGCTCCACTAAGAAAGACAAAGAAGAAAACAACCATAATATCATCAATACCCTGTACATATCCAACCGCAGGGTACCGTCGTGACCAAAGAAATAAACAACGTGCAAGTGCTGAGGCCGTCTCTGTATGGTGAAATAAAGCATGTGAGTGACGCGGAAGATCTAATGCAATTTGTGAGAGAATAGCCTGTTCATCTGGTGTTATCATCATCATCATCATTTTTTTCCTTCTTGCCATTATGGAGGATTCCTCTGCTGCTGAACTACCACTACTACTACTCATATTACCAGTATTATTACTATTACTAACTGTACTAGTAATATTAGGTTGTTTTGAAATCAATGTCTCTTGTCCTCTTTCTTGAAATCGAGAAAGACCTTCTCTTCCTCCTCTTCCTTGTAGTGTACTTGGCTGCAAAAAGTCCGTAATGCTAATTTTATAGTATTTAGCTACAAAGTTATCATATTCCTCTCGTTTACGTCGCAACTCCGCCTGTTGACGTGAGAGCGAAGCCGGGGCGGCGGGCATGTGTCCACAGAGTAATCGCCAAAGAAAAGGCCGTAAATGAAATGGCACAGTTCCACTCCATGTATATCCACGCACACTACCACGTTCTTCTAAGGAATCCCCTAATGGCAATGTTAAGACACTATTCACCATACAATCATACTCCCGTACAGTTCGAAATCCATCAAGAGCCACACTAGTAGTAACACCACCAGCACCAGCAGCAGTAGTTGTGGATGTAAGAACATCTGCAGTTGTGGAAGATAATGTCGTTCCCGGTACACTTGTCTCTTCCGCATCGGGGAGAGAAACATAAACAGTGTGTGTGGCTTCGGTAGAGTTCGAACGACTGGCATTATTTTCACCAGACATCACTGCAAGTCCATATACGCGGTATTTTGTACCTGGTGGGGCCCGGACTGCCCTACCAGGTCCTTTTAAAACTCTTACTCTATGTATGTTATTCCGTGAGGCTTTCCTCTCTCTTACTTCTTCTTCTTTATCTTCAATCATTTTATATATATATATATATATATATATTATTTTCTTCTTCTTCTTCTTTCCTTGATGCTTAGAAGATTATATTGATTGTTTTGGAAAAACTATCAATATATATATATATATCTGTGCGTTTGTTATTTAAAGCACAGGAGTCCACTACCCCTCTACTACCGCAGTTACTGCCTTTTCAAAGAGTAAAGAAGAAGAAAAAAATAAGAAAAAAAAAAAAAGAAAAAGAGTCAAACATCATTACAACCAGTATTCTCAAGAATGGGAAATACAGTAAAAGAAAAAAAAACCATAAAAAGATATATATATACTTATCTGGTCAATAAACAAGGTACGAAAAATAGTGACCATAAAATCGTAACAAGCATAAAAAGGCAATAAATGGAAAAAAGAAGGAGAAGAAAACAAAAATAGATGTAGAATAACAACCTAAGAATGAGTGCAATAATAGAGAAATGCAGTGCTCAAGCAAGACAGACGGATGTGTTCAATCAACCAGAGAAGTAGAAGGACACATACATACACAGATAGGCAAACATATATATATATATATATATATATATCTACAGTGAAAGAACGTAGAAAGGCATCCACAAGCAAAGCCTTCCTCACTCTTATTGCCTCTTAATAAAGTCACCAGCACACGTCTATTCAATCACACTTTTTTTTTTTGTTTTTAAATGTCGTTTAATTCTTCACACCAAACAGTGATGATAATCTCCTCTTTTTCATTACGCAAAATTCAACTCACACCAATCCTCTACACAGATAAACACAGATACATACATCCACACAAACACACATATATAGACAGAGAAAAGGAGAGAGTGAAAAGGTACAAAAATATGGTTTACTACTCATACAGATATATATATATATATATATATATATACCGTTATTTTTTTTGTTTGTTTGTTTGCTCTCACTCTCATTGTATAAAGATCATTCAGTTTCTCTTTTTTTTACTTTTTTTTTACTTGTGCTTTCTTCGGTTAGTTCTCTTCTTATTTTTTTTTCTTTTATTTATACCTCTTGAGCTCTTCAATACTCACTCAATCACTTTCCATACCGGAAGAGTATTCCTCCTTCTCTGTTCTCTGTTGTTTGATATTGATCATATCCCCCCCCCCCCAAAAAAAAAAGCATGAAAAGCAAAGAAAAGTGTAAATAAGAATAAATAAGTAACCAAATAAATTATTATTTTTCTTTTATTTCCTTTTTTTTTCTGAGCAAGATTAATAATGAAAAAGAAAAACGCAAGAGAGAAAAGGAACCTCCATTCACAAAAGTACTTTAGGCTCCTAGAAAGACAGCAAGGTAGGACCGTGAATGAACGAAATAATAATAATAATAATAATAATAATAATTATAATTATAATAATAATAATAATTATAATAATAATAATAATAATAAAAGTAAAGCAAACGCAAAAAGAAAAAAAAAAAAAAAACTTATCCGAAAGGAAGACTTGAATGAAATTTCATTAAAAAAGTACGTTTAAAGAAGGAAAGAAATACCATCCATGTGAAGATACAAAGATTACCGCACACAGACAAAGAGACACCTTCCTCTCACTCTCTCTCTCTCTCTCTATATATATATATAGATATATTATAGAGGTGAAAGGATAGTTTCTGTTCCTCTATACTTATATTCATTTCATCGGTCTTCTCTCGTTTATCATTATATCTTTTTTCTTTTATTCTTTGGAGGGGTGTGGGGGCTTTTTTTTTCTCTTTTTTCTCTCTTCCCATGGGAATCCTCCTTAAGAGCAAAGTGCGCATACAATGTATTAATATGGGCACATACACACTATATATATATACGTTTGTGTTATTTCCCTCGCCTATTTTTTTTTCTTCGTCCTTTAGCCCTTACATTAGCACCTCTTTGAATTTTGAATATAAGATAATGGTTTTTTTTTTTTTTTTTACTACAGATAAAAATGATATTTATATAAGTAGTAATATTTATTCGTTGCAAGTGCTGCTAGTGTTGTTTTACTCCTTCTCCCATTCATATCTGTAGTAGCAGTAAATATTTATATTTTCACTTTTTTTTTTTTCTCTCCTCTCTCCAATATAATCAAAGGTCAGTATTCACCTTACCATTCTACGTATATGTGCATATATATATATATATATATATATATTTCTTTCTCTGTATTTTGTGTTTTTTTTATGTAATGGAAGTATGTATATTTGTGTTTAATAAACCATTCATTCACACCCAAATCCATATATATATATATATATATATGGATCCGGTGCTCACTGTGTATAGAGTTTACATCCCTCAAACTCCATAATCTACCTCCGGTGCGTTGTAGGCATAAATCGCCTTATTATGCATCACCAACTTCCCATCCACAAAGTAGAAACTGTCACTCACCATTTCATTCGCGCCCTGTACAATTGCCTGTTTCCACTCCTCCGTTAACTCCGGCATATCATAAATAGACTCCCAAGTATTGGTGGAGCGGGGAATACAGAATCCAAAATTAAAGTCAAACGACTTAATAAGTGTATTGCGGAAGTAATGCCGTTCAATCATACGGAAATTCGGTACGGGTTTATCGCCGTTTATTCCAAATACAAGTTTAGCACTGATGGTCTTTCGGTACAGCATAGATGGTGGAAAGCGATAATTAATGGTCCGCATGGATCGCTGCACCTCTACTGGCAGCAGGGCGACATTCTCAATACTTTCATAATCATCTGAACTGCGCTCCACGTCGAAGAGAACTTTATGCGATTCCGCATCGCTGATGGTGAAGCGGTAGAATTCAATATTATAAGTGTTGGCGGTGATTGGGCAGAGAAAGTCTTCGGTGGGTCCTGTGAACTGCAGCACCTGCTCAGGGGTGATGGAAATACCGCCCGTCATTCTTTTGTTTTTTTTTTTTTTCTTGTTGTTGTTGTTGTTGTTGTTGTTGTTGTTGTGATTGTAAGAAAATATATAGATATATATAAATAGTATTCCCTTCTTGTATGTATATGTATATATAGATATAGATATAGTATTTAATGGGGTTTCTCTTTCTTTTTTTCTTCTCTTTTCGTGTATTGTAGTTTTTCTTTCTTCCTTCTTGTTGTTGCTTATTGGTATTGCCTGTATGTACTCTCCTGTATGAGACCTTCTACACGAGAAATTACTAACAAAATCAGACTTTTCTTCTTTTTCTTCTTCTTATCTTCTGTCCAAAGTCCTGTGTGGGTGTATTTGTGTATTTTCTTTCTTTTTCTTTTTTTCGATGTTTAACTTTGCGGTTTTTCTTTTTTTTCTTCCTTCTTCTTCTTGTTGTTGTTGTTCTCTTGTCCTTCCTTATTCTTCTCCCTTGTTGTTGGTGATGGACGTGTCTGTTTTGGCCTTACAGTGGATTCCTTCTTGGATGTTGAGTTTAATGCGTTTTTGGTTTGGTTTGGTTTGGTTTTGGTGTTGTTTTCCTTTTTACTTTTATTTGTTCGTTTTTTACACATAGATATATTGATAAAGAGAGATAAAGAGAGAAAAGAAAAGCAAAAACTAACATAAATATAAATATAAATATATATATATAAATAAATATATATATTTGTATATATTACATTACACATACATAGATATATTGTAGAGATAGAGAAGACTCTCAGATAGGCATAACTCTGATAAAAGAAAGAAAAAAAAAAAAGGATTAACTGAATGAGTACAGAAAAAATAAATAAAATGAAAATAACTCACGTGATTCGATAAAGAACAAAGGAAATATTTTTAAAAAATATATAGAAAAAAAGGAACGCTAATATACTCCGATACAGATGTATATATATATATATACATATATATATATAATAGTAAAACTTGAACGATGCAGCTAAGATGAGAATATATATATATTCATATTCATATTTAATCATAAAAAAGAAAAACGATAAAAAATAAAAACAAGAATAATAATAATAATAATAATAATAAAATAAAAAGTATAGAGAAATTCAGTTAAGCCACATACATACACACACATACATAGACAGCCTACACCATTCTCTCTCTCTCTCTCTCTCTCTCTCTCTCTCTCTCTCTCTCTGTTATACTCTCATATTAATGATCTCATCATAGTCCACGCCATTACCAGCATTCCCACTCCTTCCTCTCCTCCCAGCATGACCAGTTACACGTCTAGCACCATTATCAATGTAAACATCTCTAGTATTATTATTATTATTATTATTATTATTATTATTATTATTATTATTATTAACATCAATAAAAACACTATGGCCTTCTCCTCCTTCTCCTTCTCCTTCTCCTCCTCTTCTTCCATTGCTGTCTTCTCTAATATCAAGCAGTTGTGCTTCCATCACCATTTCATCACGTATCCATTCTTGTAATTCCAGTAATTTACGCCGTTCCTGAAGTGTACGGCGGCCCAACATACATCTCTCTCTTTCTAATACTTCAGCATCAAACTCCAAGTCTTCCCGTTGCTGCAGTAATTCCCTCTCGCGATTCATACGTTCCGTCTCAAATCGCATCTGTTCCATCATCCACGTATATTCCTTCTGATCTAATCGTGCTAATTCCACATCCGCATCGTGTACAGGAGTCATGGCCGCATCCAAGTCTTCTATTATGTCTTCTTCAATCACAGCCTCTACGGGATCCCATTCACATGGGGCGGGACTCTTTACAGGCTCAAAGGAATATCGTTTACCGGCCGGCCGTGAAGCCGCTGTGGTTAATGAGAAACTACGATCATTCGTATCATTTAATCCCTGTTGTTGATATTGTGATTGTTGTTGTTGTTGTTGCCTTTGTGGTTGTTGTTGTTGTTGTTGTTGTTGATATTGTTGTGTGGTTTCAAATGCCCCATTTGTAGAATTCACATATGGTCTCTCACGAGTAAATCCATTCCTATTATTATTATTATTATTATTATTATTATTATTATTATTATTATTATTATTATTATTATTATAGAAAGAAGAAGAAGCATCTGCAGCACGTCTGGATACGGCTGAGTGACTTTCCTCACGTGTTACCCGCAACTCCAGCAATGACTTATCGTGAATTCCCATCATTCCTCCCGTTGTGAAGTTCTCCATCGTTTCACCGTTAAATCGCAGTTGTTGTTGTTCGGCGGGAATAAGACAAATACCCTCGAGGTGTTGTTTTAACTGTGCGCCTGTTAACTTGTTGAGATTCCCCTCAAAGACGAGATGATAGACAACGCCGGTGTCGGGATTCCGCACCCGCAGTGTTGAGCGACGATTGCGAGTGGCAGAGGTCTGATCAGATCTTTGATGGTTCCCATACATATTTACTTTTCTTTTACTATTTCTTTTTCTTGTTTTTCTCTTTTCTCTATTCTATCCAGAGTAACTCTGACTGGGGTAACTGAGTGACTAAGTAAGTGTACAACTAGTTTAGTTACACAAAAGGACTTTTTTTTTTTTCACAAAGTGAGTGAGAAAAAAGAAAAAAGAAAAGAAA